AACATTTCCTTCATTTTTTTCTTGTATTTTTTAATTTTTTTCCTATTATTATACAAAAAAATATATTTTAAAATTCAGATCCACATATTTAAAAGTAAAAATTGCCTGATGAAAGTAAAAATTGTCTACAATATTATGCTTATATTTTTTTTAATGATACATTTTTTCTTGACTAAATATGATTAAACTTAGTTGCAAAGATGTTGCCTTAGTTAACTAAAGAAATTACTTTTAAAAAATTAACTAAAAAAATAGGTTGCCTGAATTTAAAATTTGGTTAAATAGCTTTGTTTCTTTTAACGTTTTTGTTTTTAATTATTAATTAATGTTTAAAATATTTTATTTTAATTTTTTCAATTTAAAGTCTTTTACTTTAATTTTTTAACATTATCTAACATGTAATTTATTTTTAAAATTTGTATATTCCAATGTTACATTTTTATGCCATATAATAAAATTCATCACTAATTTTGTTTTTTTAAACTTAGCATAAAATCAAATCTAAAATTTTGATTTTACTTCATAAAAAATTTATAAAGTAAAATCAAAATTCTTAGATTTTAGAGATTAGCTCGATGAATATCTAATTTATCAAGTTTCAATTTAGTTTTAAATAGTCCCGATCTAATTGAATGATAATATTATAGCTAATATATGTTGATGTGTATTTTTTAAATGATTGACAAATTTTATTTTTCTTTATTCTCTTTTGCCTCAGTGGCAGTTTTCTCTTTTTTCCTTCTTATCCTTCCTTTTTTCCATTTTTCAAATAACATCACAATCCTTTATTTTCGTTCATCTTTAGTTTAATATTCAAATTGACTAGAAAATTTCTCGACAAACAACTAGATTCGTCGGCATTTGTATTAAGTCATTTGAGATATCTCTTATTATCTAGACAACATACGTTAACTGTCATATAATAATTCCGTTAGGTTAATTAATGATCAACTTTAACTTAGGGACCAATTAGAAATCAAACTCAAACTGCAGGGACCATTTAAAAACTAAGTTCAAACTTGGTAACCAAATATGTCACTTTTGAAACTTAATGACTAAATGACTAAATGGAAACTAAATTTACATCTCAAATACTAAAAGTGATGGATTTTCAAACACTGGGACGATTAGAAACCAATTATAAATCTCAAGAATCAAAAGTGCGTTCTTGAAAGTTTTGGTAATGATATAGTCCCTAAGATTTGAGAAATAATTTTAAATAATCTTAAATTAGCTTTTCCTGGAACTAAAAACCTTCCATTTTTTAAAAACTCACTATCATGGGGGCCTACATTTAACCTCCACTCTTATAACTAGCTGCCACATTATATTTACATTATATTTTTCTTTTTTTGAGACAAGAAAAACATTATATTTACATTATGTTTTTCTTTTTTTGAGACAAGAAAACATTATATTTACATTTTTATTCTCATTTTAATAAGCTAATGGGCTTGTTATTTTAAAATAATTAAAAGCTAAGGCAAAATTTTTAAAATATTAAGAGCATAATCCTGAGAAATTAAGGTTTTTGAAATGTTCAAATGACTCATCCTTTTAATTGTGTCCAAATGACCCATTTTTAGCATTGATGATGTGTCAAAAGCAGATGAAATGACCAGAATGCTATTAAATGTAATGGATGACCGCTGGAATAATTCCAGCCCGAGGTAGCTTCAATGCACGACAAAACCAATTTAATGCACACCAATTTGTACCTAACCAATCAATACATGTCATTACTAACCTCAAAGAACATGTGTCCTTATCGTGAATATTCTCTCTGCACAATCCTAAAAAATATGAAAAGCATTGTGAATATTCTCTTTGGAAGTTTCAAGATTTTGAAAGAGGTAGTTCTTTATTTTTTATGCTTTCTCCTTTTGCGCAATAATCTGGAGTAACAATAACTTTTGTTATTTTGTTTTAAACTCATATGTTCATTCCTCCTGCACTATGCGTTTTAATTTTCGGGTCATTCTCGAGCGAGGTGATATGATTCTCGCCGAGAATCATGTTTTTGATGAACCTCGGGCGAGATACTAAACTTTCTCGACCGAGGTCAGAGGTTTTCAAAACAGAATGTTTGTTAAACTTACCTCGGGCGTGACTGCGTATTGAACTCTATCGCAGGCGAGAAAATATATTTCCCGCACGAGGTTGATGTTTATTATTATTATTATTATTATTATTATTATATTCCATCTCTAATTGTCTTTTCAATTGTGCTTTGTAATGCAAAACAAAATGGTACCGAATCGAAACCCTTATATTTGGTTACGCCGAACCCGTGTACCCCCTCGGAGATGAGGAAGATTGGATTTTACCGGATGACTACGTGCCGAGGACGATTAAGCCACCAAAATTTGTTCCTCATGTTGGACGTCGCCAAACTGCCAGAATACCATCAGTCGAGAAGTCCGACAGGTACACAAATGCGGGCAATGTGGAAACGTTGGACACAACCGCAAGACGTGTAGGCAGCCGCTCCGAACAGAATGATATGGTTATTACTGAATTTTGTTTTATTGTAGTCGAAACTATATGTACTATGTAAATACTACAACATTATGGTTTTGCTGGCATTCAAATTATGTATTTTGTAGGTTCATTTCGGATTGCAAAGGAAATAGAGCCCGAGGTTGCTGAACTCGTAGGTTCTGTCAAAATTCTCGGGCTCAATCTTGGGCATGGTACAGCTTGAGGGTGCTTCGTTTTTAGGTTCTATCAAATTTCTCGGTTAGATCTCGGGCGAGGTGAAGCCCGAGGTCTGCTCATGTTCAGGTTCTGTCAAAATTCTCGGGCTCGATCTCAGGCGAGGTTGAACCCGAGGTTGACACATTTTTCTTGATTCCATAATTCTCGGTAAACTTATACTCGACCCCGCCCGTAAAATTCAATGAGCTACGAAAATAGAGATTAAAGTTATGTTCATTTAATATGGAGATTGTTCTTTATTTCAGTTTTGCCAATATTCTCGGGCTCGAACTCGGTCGAGGTAGAGATCGAGGTTGGTATTTGTTTCAATTGTGCAAAAAACCTCGAGCCTACCTCGACTATAAAATACAATGTTCTTCAGAAATAAAGATTAAAATGATCCTAATATTGAAAACGCAGTCCTAAACTTCATTAATAATTGATGTTTTGTTTCAATGTATCTAAACGAGTCCCTGTTAAATCATACTCAATATACTTAAATTCATTCGTATTATCAAATTTAACTAAGTTACGAGGTACAAAATAAGAAAACAGTTCTAATGGAATATCAAAAAATAGATCTATTCGGCCCAAGTTGAAAAGCAAGTTGCCTCCTAAAGTATGCAATCCTAGATTGTTTTAGAGTATCCAATACGGACCCGGTTACATCGTACTCGAAATACTTGATGTAGAAAATCCCACAGTTGCCACCGCCAATCTGTTGTGGTGCTGACGCAACTCGTCGAATCCGTCATGGTTGGATCGGTAGATTGGGTCGGACTTTTATAACATCACATTTAAAGAGCATTACTAGGATGATGGTGCACATTACCTTCAAATGATCCTCCATAGCATCATTCGTGGTCATTGAATTCAAGGAGTCCCATACTACAATCTCACCTTCCTCGAGGTCGATACATACCATTACCCAATGCTTGCCCCTGATGTTAAAGAGGAGATATATGGCGTCCACTTCCATCCACTTCAAAGGGTAGTTCGTATGAGTGTCGTCAGCATAACCCATGATGCTCTTGTCCCTTCCTAGCAAACTACTATCATACTTCAAACTTCTCTCCCGTCCATGAAGTACTAGTTCCACGAAGTACACGATTGAGACCTTCATCGCGTCTCAATCATCCTCAAATCGTAACATTTTGTACTTCTTCTCCAAATCGGCCAAGGTCAAGTTTACGTCATCATCGAAGTACAAGGTTCTAAGCCTAACAGGATACGTGTCTTTCCTAACGTGTGCTCTCGAATATTTTAGACCGCTTATGAGGTCAAATTCTCTCCGACTGAATGACACCTTACTCCCAAACAAGTTGAAAGTAATGGTGTCCGGACTACTCTTTTCTACCAATACCTCCCTAAGTAACAAGCTATGTATTAACGACCCGTTGAAGAGGCTCAACCTCGATGTTACCTCGAGGTTGAGCCTCTTACGAATACCTCGGGCTCAACCTCGTGGTAACCTCGAGGTTGAACCCAATGTATTTGAGAGATGTTCAACCTTGGGCTCAACATCGAGGTTGAACATCTTTCAATACATCGAGCTCAACCTCGCCCGAGGTCGAACTCGAGAAAAATAACAGTAGCACTTCTTCTTCAACCTCCCACCACACCACACCACTTCAAACATTTCAAATGAACCTCCCACAAACAAATTTCAAATAAACCTCACACCCTCACACACAGAGACCATATCGACATAAAAATACACTAAAAAATCAAGAACAAAGAAGGCACAAACAGTAATCAATTTTCCTATTTTTCAAAACACGAAATACACTAGAAACAAAACCTAAATCGATGCCATATTAATCATGTATTCGTTCATCCGAACAACGGAAAACGTAATCGACAGAAAAACCAAACATTGAACTCCTAAACAGAGTTGAAAATTGAAGCCCTAACTTTCAAAGTGATGGAAAAGAACAAAACCTAACAAAAATCAAACTTACCTCGAACGATTTCGAACAAAGAAGGAGAAGAGAAAGGGAGAAGACGATGGAACTGGAGCGATTTCAAACAGAGAAGAAGACGAATGACACGATTTTGAACGGAGAAGGAGAAGAGAAAGGGGCGTGCGAAAATAACTGTTTGATTTTTGAACTTAGGGGTAATGGTGTAATTTCGTATCAATTTAAATTTAATTAAATATTAAAATGGGTCATCTAAACATAATAAAAGTGAGTGTGCTCTTTGAGCATAGGGCCGTTTGAGTCGATCCCCGTAATCATAATCATGTACCTACCGCATCAAATTACTTTGAAACAATTTAAAAGAAGAAGAAGAAGAAGATGAAGAAGATGAAGAAGAAAAGTTACCCTAATCTTCTTCACTTTCAGCTGTGAAATCATTTCCGATGGCCGGGATCCACGTGGTGGCGATGCCTTTCCCCGGCCACGGCCATATAAACCCTATGATGAACCTCTGCAAATTGCTGGCCTCAACGCAACCCCATATTCTCATCACCTTCGTCGTCACCGAAGAGTGGTTCACCTTCATCGGCGCCGATCCCACGCCTCCAAATCTCCGCTTCGCCACCATCCCTAACGTCATCCCGCCGGAGAGGCTCAAGGCCGCCGACTTCCAAGCCTTCAGCGAAGCCGTCGTCACCAAGATGGAACCTCCCTTCGACCAACTCCTTCACCGCCTTCAGCCCCCTGCGGCTGCCATCATCGCCGATGTGGAGCTGCGTTGGCCCATCGCCGTCGGAGCTCGACGGAATATTCCGGTCGCCTCGCTCTGGACTATGTCGGCTACCTTTTTCTCCATGCTTTACAGAGCCGTTGTTTCCTTTCGGCTCCGGCAACTGCCTCCTAATTGGTTGGGTATAGTTCTCAACTGTTCTGTAAATGGGGCTGAGGAATTTGAATCGAACCTAATTTGATCAACTGAGTTGTTATTCATGACAGATATGAAAGTTTAGGAGTTGAATATGTTTGCTCTGTAAGTGCAGATCATGGTGATGAAGAAGTGGATCAAATTTCAGGGCTTTCTTCAACACATAAAGCAGATCTTCGGAAAGTGTTTGAAGAGAATGATAATAGAGTCGTGGAGATTATATTGGATTGCATATCCAGAGTGCCAAAAGCCCATTGTTTACTATTCACTTCCTTCTATGAGTTAGAACCCCAAATGATGGAGACTTTGAAATTGGAATTCCCTTTCCCTGTCTACACAATTGGCCCTGCAATCCCCTACTTTGAGCTGGAAAAGGAACCTCAAGCAGCTAATAACAATGACTCCAATTATCAACAATGGTTGGATTCCCAACCTGCTGATTCTGTGCTCTACATTTCATTGGGAAGCTTTCTTTCGGTCTCAGCTTCCCAAATGGATGAAATAGTTTCTGGGCTACAAAGCAGTGGTGTTCGGTTCTTGTGGGTGGCTCGTGGGGAAGCTACTCGGCTGAAGGAGCGATGCAGCGAAAAGGGGTTAGTCGTGCCATGGTGTGAACAATTGAAGGTCTTGTGTCATCCCTCAGTAGGTGGGTTCTGGAGTCATTGTGGCTGGAATTCAACTTTGGAAGCTGTTTTTTCAGGGATTCCTATGCTTACTCTTCCTCTATTTTTGGATCAAAATCCCAACAGTACCCATATTGTTGAAGACTGGAAGATTGGGTGGAGGGTAAAGAGAACCAAGGTTGGAACTGAAACATTGATTGTCAAAGAAGAAATATCAGAGATTGTCCAAAGATTCATGGATCTCAACAGCTCTGAGGGAAAGCAAATGAGGGATAGAGCCAAAAAGCTAAAAGAAATTTGTCACAAAGCAGTAGGGGAAGGTGGATCGTCTCACCGAAACCTGGGTGAATTTATAAGGAGCATTTCAAAAGGTGACATCAAATAGGATGGATTTCATCTACTCTACTCTGTCTAATACTTGGAATTCTCAACCCAAAGCTCACACCCCATAGTGTTGTGTTCTGACTGTACTATAATGTGTTGAATCTACCGCCTCTTCTCTTCACTGTAAAGGATTGTACCATCTTGATAAATAATACATGTGTAATCTATAAAGATGCAAAGGTTTGGTGTAAGAATTATGCTACAGAATTAACTGTTAGTTTACAAGAATGAATAATGGAACCAAATTATATACTGTGTTTCATTTTCATCTGAACCTTACAACCTGGCCTACGACAATGATACGCACAGGATCATATGCTCACAACCTGGCCAACTACAACAGTGATATCATCAAGTTTTCCACCTGTTCAGAGAAAAAAGGCCGAAGTTTAACTGCCACTGTAAATTAATGGAAGTTAGGTTACATTATAGGAGTAAAAAATCCTTGCCTGTAAGCTTCATTCCCAGTATTTTTTTCCAGAAAGGAACATCATAACCCTATAAGAGAATTAATGTAAAGAGACATTAGACATCCATTGTAAGGAAGCTAATAGGGAATGTGCAAACATACACATCAGAAGTAATACTGCTGGTAAAGGATTTCACCTTAGATCTAGCCTCCAACGAGTACGGCGACTCGAACATTTTATCTGCCGAATGACTACTTGCAAGGTTAGCCAACGCCTTAGCTAGCATCCAAAAATGAATTAATCATGGTCGGGGTGATTGAATGATTGAGACTAAACTTCTAGCAGATAGCAGACCAGATACCACATACCAGCCTCAACAACATCAACATTTTTGGTTGCTGTTGCAAGAATCTCATGATCAAAAACATTATCAAAAAGCCCATCCGAGCCCATTACTAGAATGTCTCCCTCCATTAGTTCCACATTGCTAACCTGTTTTCAATATTGAAACAAAATAATCTATCTCCTTAGAACTCAAAAGGATGCAGCAAGCCACCGACCAGATCCTATTCAAGTAAAGTCGTGTAACAAGATAACCTGCTGATTTTCTATGAAATGACGAGGTACAAGGAAGTAAAGTAACTAAATAACAAACTAGGTCTAAAAGGTAACCGCATAACTATCAAATCTCATGGGATACTCCCTAGTTTACTATTTTTTTATGTAAATTATGTAATACTAAGTCTCTTTGGTGGGAGGAGAACGTTGGTCATATGACAATCACAAAGATAAAAACAGCTTGTTGTCACTCTTCACCATTTCGGTCGATAAGATTCAGACGTTCCAACCATAATATGATATAGGAACAGTAGCATACACATGATAATAAATGTTTCTTTCGAATTTTTACTTTATTACTAATTTTTCACTTCTTTTCCCTTCTACCAAGGACTTCGCAGGTGGGACAACAAAGTTATGCAGAAGTTGACAGTAAAATGAATGCAAAGACACAGACATAACTGAAGATAAATAACCTTACGACTATACTTCAAATAAATCGAGATAGATATAGAAAATTATCATACCGTGGCATCAAGGAATGTCTGGCCAACCCGTTCTGAGCTTAGTTGATACGGGCAGTCAAAATAATGCTCTTGTGGAGACGTGGAAAATATAATTTGACCTAAGGAAACGATGTTTATGTTTAAATAGAGAAATGAAGAGTTGGAAGTGTGGAAGACAATGAAAAAGAAAATTAAACGTTAGTCATACCTGTACGAATGATCTTTAGTCCACAATCTCCAACATTAGCAACTTTCAGCATGCCATTCCTCTCCATCATTGCAACAATTCTGCCTAGCCCAGTGAAAGCTAAGGTAAATAATACTACCATTAAGTCAAATATTTACCTGAACGTCAAGCATAAAGATTACTAGGTACATGTTTAACATGAAACTTCTATAGAATTTTGAACGGATTGGGAGACTTACACTGTAGCTGAACCAGTTGCAGAGGTAGCAGAATGTGCCTTCCTCAGAAGAATCCGAGGATCATTATTAACCTGCTTAATTAGCACATCAGACTTGTCAATTACTGGAAAATTATATAGAAAGAAAACACTGCATAATCCAAAAATAGGAAACTACAATGGTAACCAAATTCTTTCGCTGGTCCAAATTTGCAAGAATTTATAAACCATAAACAAGCAGTTTTGTTTAAGATGATACAACCTCGTCGTCATTCCCCACCAAATGTGAAGCGTTAGCCAAGAACTCTCGAGGAAATAACGAGGGATCCACATCTTCCTCAGCCCAACTATCCAAGAATAAGATACAAGAACAATCATAACTGAACAATATAGGAGATACTATTCAGTTTTCAGCATAAAAGAAGATGCTAATTGCAACATAGTAATCTCCATTGCAAAAGAAGATAAATAAAACAATCTAGTGAGGAAAAAAGAAAGACGAATTAATCAATAAAATATCTGTCACAACGGACCCATACCCAGAGACACCATCAGCAACAGCAATAACTCCTCCAGAGTGGTTACTCACAAAGTAAGCATCCTCCCCTCCCGTGAGTGCCTTCAAGCACACGAGAAATTAAGAAATTCATCAACAGGGAATTGATTATTTTAATTGGCTCACAAGATAGTGATTGCTGCTGCACCTCACCTTCTTGGGGTGTGGAATGAGATGAGTTCCAACACACAGCGACACCTCTGACCTAATAACAAGAAGATTAACAGAAATTGTTCAGGAATTGGCAATAAAAAATGAAGATAGATTTGTAAACTGAAAATTTGCGTCATAGGTCATAGTAATAAATCAACTTGTACCCAATTCGTTATTAACCAGGCGGAGTGGAAGAACAAAGCGATTGCCTTAAATCCGATTACCAAAATGATTAAGTATATTCATATACATGCATTGAAAAGTTGAAAAGGAAAAAAGAAAAGAAAAGCAGGCCAACAAACACCACCCAAGAAATCTCAATTCAGTCAACAGTATATGCAAAGCGAAGAATTCAAGCTTCAATTCAGGAAGATAGAATGGTAACGCATGTGAAACTTGAAGAGATAATGATTCAGAAAATCAAAAATGGAAAGCGAACTAAACATACCGAACATGGTTGATTTCGGATGGAGCACAGAAGAGCAAATTCCTCCTGTTGGAACCTTGAGAGAGAGTTGAAAGGGAAAATGAAGGGAAATGAATGAGTGGTTGAGACTGAGGAACTGAGGCCTGCAGGGCGAGTGCCGCCATTTCCCGCTTCCACCTCTCGCGTCTCACCTCTCACAAAACGAGGCAGATTTTTATAACGTGGATGAACATGTATTTTGTTATATATTTATAATTCCCGAACATTTCAAGAAGCACCAGTGGTCTAGTGGTAGAATAGTACCCTGCCACGGTACAGTCCCGGGTTCGATTCCCGGCTGGTGCAAATTCTTTTTAAAGAATTATTTTTCATGTCTATATATATATAGTTTTAGTTAAAATACTATTTCAGATTTAGCCCATAATTTTTTTATTTTTAATTTTAATTTTCAATTGGCTTTTCGATCAGATGCCTTGGAGTTGGCGCCGAATGCCCTAAATCAGCCATTGTCGAGTGCTCGTTCCGATCAGAGGATGAATGCAACGTTGAATTCTGGAGTTGTTTTCTCTGAAGGTAAAAAAAATACTTTAGATTTCCTGTTCTTTCCTGCGATTTCAACTCTCTTGAGTTCTTTGATGAAACCTCTCGTCGCTCGCAGACATTGCCGATGAAAGTGATTCCGATGCGAATTCCGCTGAAGGATCGGATTACTACGAGCCAATCGCGGCCGTTGATGATGAAGAATCCGATGACGCTGGATCAGAGGACGAAATTCACAGCTCCGATACTCATTTGCAGCATTTACCCAACGGTTGTCGTGTGAATCAAGTGGAGAACGCAGTTTCGTCTCTTAGGCTGAACGAGGATGAGGATGAGGAGAGGATGAGGAAGGCTTCTGATTCGGCGATAAGGATGGCGTTTAGAGAGGATGAGACTCGGAGGAACGCGCCGCTGTCACCGGAGAATGCGATGAGGATCATGGAGGCCATGCGCGGCGTCTCGTTTGGCGGCGTTGCTCCAGATTGGACTCGGATTGTTTCTGAGGACCGTTGGATTGATCAGCTTCGAAGGCTTAGGCAAACGCCCAGCTCTCCCAATAATTTCGGAAACTGAGAGATGAACCTCTTTCTCATTTCAAATTTCAGATCCCAGTCTTCTTCTTCTTCTTCTTCTTTCTTTAGTTTGTTACCGAATTTTCCCATGACTCTCAGTTTTCCTCATGAATAAAAACAATCCTTCTGGGTTTTAGTTCACAAAAGATTCCTCCATTCCCCAATCAAATGCAATTATCGTCATCACAATTAACTGTGATTCAACTTATTCGTAGAATGAGCATTTTAGTTCTGAAAGGACTCCGTAGCCATGACCTCCAGTGAGGAACTGAAACTGCTTGCTTCAAGCTTAGAATAGATAGTAGAGATTGGAACCTGTTGAATTGAAGATGTTAATCAGTCATTATCTTTCTTGGTTCCAAAAAAGAATTCACAACTCTTTTTCCCCTCCCCCTTGGTCTTATTCTTGTTTCCCATCGAGCAGAAGGCATCTGTAATTTCGAAATAGAATCCAAGAACTGATGGTTGCTTCCACTATCAATCAGAAAAAGGGGAAAAAGTTGTCACTATGGCTTAATATTGTGCAATCTAGTTTCATTGTTTCTCAATGAGTTCTAAAGTTCTTGTTGCAAATTATGCTCTGTAATTCTTTGAAGGAATGATCAGTTTGATTCCTTGTCAGGAACAAGGAAAAAAAAATCCACTCCTCTAACAAAAAAGTCATTACGTACGTGAAGATTGAAGACGAACTGAGAGAAACAACTTCAAAGAAACCAAAAATGGAAATCTAAACCAATACCAGTTCAATTTAAAATTTGAATCATTTTGCATATTATTGCTCGTGGAAGATTTCCAACTATGATGAATTCTTCTGGCAACGTATATAAATATTCTCATACACTGTTTAGAAACTTGCAGCTCTAGAACTAATTGTAACATCTGGACTCATAAGAAAATGGCAGCTGAGAACACAGGGCGTTGTACTAATTTCTGTTTGATGCCGTTGGGGCAATAAAGAACTCTTCAGCCATGAGTGAGTTGTTGGCTTCAATCTAGACTTAATCAAGCTCCGATATTCTCGATGTCTGCACTTTTGTCCACTCTCTTCACAATGCCCGCTATAACCTGTTGACACATGTCATGTGTCGGATCAGGAATGGATAATTGAGATGGGAAACATTTTATGAGAAAAAACCCAAAATCTGTTTGCCCTAATATCTAAAAGGTGAGACTAGAATTAGTGTAGAGTTTCATACCTTCCCAGGGCCCAATTCATAACTCTTCTTCAGCCCCTTGGTGAGTAGAGTTTTTACTGTTGTTTCCCACTGAACGGGAGAAGTCACCTGTAGTTTTGAAATGAGAATGATGACCAATGTCAACATTGATTATCAATTTACAATACAGAAGAAGCTATTATGTTGGCCACTCGATCCCTAAACGAAGGGGTTCGCCGAGTTGTGCTTCTGTTCCTAGAACTACTTTATGGTGATTAACTAATAGGCAGTCTTCATTCTGAAAGTATGAGTTGAGTTGGTTACCTGGCGAGCCAATATTTTCTTGATTGCGTCAGGATCTGCATGTGGCTGTGCATCAACATTGGAGATGACTGGTATTCTGGGAGTTTTGATCTCCGTTGCTGCAAGTGCAGCTTCCAATCTTGAAACAGCAGGTTCCATGAAACTAGTGTGGAATGCACCCGTCACAGCTAGACGTACCTACAGCAAAATGGTGCAGGCCATTGCCGAGTTAGTTTTAATGGGACAAAAATATTTGACTGCAAAGTTTGAGTTCCATTATATGACGGGATAGATACCGTCATTCGAGCCTTGAATGACTTTGCCTTGGCTTCTACTGCTTCTACTCCTTTTATACCTCCTGATACAGCGTAATTGCCCTGTGATGGTAGGAATACATTTCCTAAGAATGTCAGTGTAACTATGCTAATGAGAAATTCATACATACAGCTTATCAAGCTGATATGAAGTTTAAAAGAACCTTACAGGACACAGGAAATTTGCTATCTGAACTTTATCAGCTTCATCGACTTCTTGATTAGCCGCATCACACAGCTGTTGAACCTTCTCTGAGTCTAACCCTATGACACTGACCATGGCACTTTTTGCACCATCAGCAGCTGCCTGAAGGAAGTTATGGTGAGAAGTTGGTCTTAGTAACTACAACACCATGCATGCCAGAAGCGGAAATCGAAACGACCATTAACCAGCTATGTATTGGTACCTGCATTGCCTCCCCCCTTAGTTTGACCAGCTTGAGTCCATCCTCAAAGCTAAAAAAGTGGAACCGAACCATAACCAGCCATGTCAATATGAAAACATAATCACCAAATATATATAAGATCTAAGACAGAGGGCAGTAAAACTTAAACTTATTTGATGCTTTTTTACAGACTAATAATCTACGTATGCAAGCAGGTAAACTTCGAGATTACAGTAAATATGACAACACACCTGAAAGCCCCTGCAAATGCTAATGCAGTATACTCCCCCAAGCTTAGACCACAAGTGACATCAACAGAATCGATTATTTGCTGGCCTCCATCACGTGCACGAAGCAGCTCAACTGCAGCTAGACTTGTGACATAGATAGCTGGCTGCAATTTTGCAGAATCAATTTAGCAAGTTCAAAACCTTGAACAGTGATGAAATGACAACTTAACATCCAGAGACATATATGTGTTTGTAAGCATAGACACGGAAGCAGATTAAAATAGGAATAAAGCTACTTTAGTTCACATATAAAATTGATCCAGTATATTAGAAAGAGAACCACTGCAAATCTATATTCCATTTGAATGGTCTCAATAATTAGCTACCACTACCTAATAAGGTCAACGTCAAGATCAATCATCCCAACCATGGAAAGTTAAAGGATAGACATCTCAGAAAAGAGGTCCCTTTTCATCAGAAATAAAATGAAGAGTGGCTGGTCATCCATTGATAACGGTAACTAAAAATTCATCGCAGAGAAAACAGAACAGTTCAAGATAAAGCACCTGACTTAGAATTGTTGAGTCAAGTTTCTCCTTCGGCCCATTAGTGCAGACATCAAGAAGATCAAAGCTGCAAACAGAGATGAAAGAACGTTACATCACACGAGTAGAATATTCCATTAAATGATAGTCAGAGAGGATTGTCAAATCTCTGTTACGGTTGATCTTGAACTGAACCCTAAAATGTCATTTGCTCTTTTGAACAAATGAATAATGCAAGATGAAGAGATGATTAGTAGCGAAGTTACCCTAAAATGTCATTTGCTCTCTTGAACAAATCTGCTGCAGCAGGAACGCTTTGAGATTCCTTTCCCATTCCCACAGCTTGTGCACCCTGGCTCAGAGTGAAGAAAAAAGAAAAATGATTCAACAATTATTCATGAAAGAAAATAATGGCATAACTACTGTCCACTATCCAACTTCATGATATATGTCGGATTTTTATGAGAGTTGCTACACTACACTACAAGCCATTATATGCATGGCACCTGAACGAAGTTCAGCAAAACAAGCCTTCATAAGGCACAATTCAGCAGAGTCACCATGGACGATGGAAGGTAAGTAGATGATTGGCATACATATTAACAATTCACCTAGAACACGCCTTCACCATTTTGGTAGTCTAACAGTAGAATACTCGTTTCACTTGCCATGCGTCTACATTTTTATACTGTAGGACACTGATGAACTTGTTGGAAATTGCTTTTAAAAGAAGTGAAGTTCATATCCAATAACTTCTTGCAGACTCCTCTTCGTTACCCCTCGACTAATGGAAATTCCGAAGATATGACTGGTTAAACTAAACCTCCAAGATCCCCATCTTTCCAGAATTTGAATTTACAGACCTTACCACGCCGAGCCCACAAAAAGAAAAGGAGAAAAAAATGTATACACACGAATCTACTTTTCCCATCAAAAAAAGGGCAAGAAACTATTAATGCGGAATATGTATTTAGCCTCCTACTCCATGTCAATGTGAGTAGCGACACCAAACTGAAAAAGGAGAAGGGCAAATTCCGTAGAAACTGACCTGGCCAGGGAAGAGAAAAGCACAATTGGGCTTGTAATCCAGGAACAAGGAATCGTCAGCCAGAGTCTGCGATCCAACTGAGGCGCTCATGAAAACCCTAGATCGAGCAGCGAGGGTTGCAGCAGTGGAGCTCCGGAATCCATTTCTGAAGGCGATGAATGAGGCGGAGCTCCTGAAAGACGAGGAGGAATTGAGAGGCAACTTCTTGAGGGAAATTGTGGAAGGGAGGGCGAGAGAGGAGGCCATGGCGGGAGCAATCAGAGGAGGGCGGCGATGGAGAGGATGAGAAGAGAATCGGGCATTGCAGAGGAGACTGGAGACGGGAGCGGAGCGGAAGGTTTTATACAAGGTGAATTACGCCAAAGATTTAGCGGAGTTCCCGAAGGGCAGAGACGTTGGGGAGATGGCATGGAAAATCAACAAAACCGCCCAACTACTTCATTACTAAAACTTCTCTCTCTTCTCTAATCTTACAAATCGATCGAAGCTCCACAATTAAGGTTTTCTGTCCAATCGAATTTTCGACTTTTGATGGCGGTCTATTTGTTGGGATTGGTAAAGCCAAACCACAATCGAAGKGATGAAGAATTGAAAGAATGAATGAAGAAAATGTTGTAGGGACATGTTGGTCGAGGAGGCAGCGTTAGCGTCTCAATGCTGCAAAAAGCGGGAGGATCATGCTGCAAAGTTTGCAGCATTGACACACTAAGATGCTACTGCAAGGGAGGCATGTGTTGAGTCCGCGTCCGTAGTGTTGAGACGCTCAACATAAGTAGTTATAAAACCATCTTTTCGTCTAGGTTTTTGTGCAACCGTGGGGATTAACATTTTAGCCGAAATGTAGAGAGTTTTGTGGCAATTTTTGGGACAGTGGCTCGAGGGTGTTTGCAGCAGAGGGACAGATCGAGATCACTATGTTTGGGATAATTTGTTCTCAATTATTTTAGTGTGTTTTTCATTTATATATGTGTTTTAATATTTAGAAGCTAGAGACCTTTTGTTGAGACCTCTAGAGGCTGAATATCTAAGAGAGATATTTGAGTGTTTGTACCAATTCTCATATAGTGGAACTCGCATCTGAGTGGAAGGTTGGACGTAGTCATTGGGTGAACTAGTATAATTCTCTATATCGTTACCGTGCTTTCCTTAATCTCTTATTATTTGTATTGGTTGATTTGTGTTTTTGTTGGATGACTGTTGAATTGGAAATTGTGTGGAGCTTGATTTCACAACACTATTTTAGATCAATCTATGATAGGTCGGGCTTCCAACCTAGCAAAGAGAGAACCAATGTTGGAGGATAAAATATGGTATGCGACCGAGACCAATAGAAATGAATGATCTTGCTTTATACATTTTCTCACGTTGACGGTCTATCTTCCAATACCAAGTTTAATAGCTCAATTTCTGACAGATGGTTTATTTAATAAAATATATTGGTCTATATAACTCGTGGCTCTTCAAGATGCTCCTTCAAACATGGAGATCAAGCTATGGATGAAAACTAGTTACAACTGTGTAACAAGCTCTCTAATGGTTGTAACATAACGATCTCTCCCCCGACTCCTATAAATACGTAGCCACTATTGTATGCATGTATGCAATTCTGTGAGGAAACGAGTTATATGGTTGAGTTTTAGACTGATTTGAATGTCAGAGTATTGTTCATTGCGTGTAAGTCATCTTTTTTACATAGCTCACTCTATATAGCTCGATTAGGAGAGCTCACTGCGGATCTCAYCTGGTTTAGAATCTGACATCAACAGAGTTTAAGTATTAAGGTTTGTGTACTCTTCATCTGAGTTATACAGATGAATAGGCTGACTCAATTTTGTTGTAAGTTTATGATTTGTAAAATTTGTTTGCATATATGATTATTTAATTAAATATTATTATTCAAATAAAAGTGTAAAAATTGAAACATACAATTTGATTATTTATGTTGTAACTGTGGAGTTACACGTACATCTCCAATTTATAAAAAACTAGTATAATATAAAAAGTGGGTTGTAAGAATTGTGAGCCAAAGCTCCCAATTTTGTTTTATTTATTTATTTTTTTGAAACAGATAAATTCCATTAAGCAGAACAAACAGCCACTTGGGCTTCAAGATTTGACTGATGACTCACGGTCTCAATTTTCAGCTTACACCCAGGGGCAAACTTATAGCAGGAATACATTCGTGAATCGCCTCCCATAGAAATTTTTTTATTTTATGTGGACCTTGACGTTCCAAATGCTTTTCCGCTGCTCGACTCCTCACCGTTGAGCAGCTAATAGGGATTTTCAAAATCTCAGTAATATCCTCTARACAAAGAAACAGATTCATCTTTTTAATATCCCAATCACCCGTCGCAGCAATTAGGTCAGCAACCAGAAGATTTGAAACTGGCCTCTTCTGAAGAACAGGTTTGAAGGTCGTCTCCCGTGGTGACCACCTATCCTTGAACACATCAATTGATTTCCCATCCCCAACTTTCTTCCTGAGCCCTTGAAGAAAGAGGTCCTACCCCATAACGCGCTCCTCCAGAAGTAAGACATCTTCCCCACACTACTAGCCTCCAATAAGTTCCCATCTTCATAGTAGCGACTCGCCAAAACCCTAGCAACCAAAAGGGAAGGATTAGTCAATGGCCCCCAAACCTGTTTAGCCAGCAGGACTTGATTAAACCCCCTTCAGATCTCTAAAATTGGGACCTCCTAGCTTTTTCGGATAGCACATCTTCTCCCACGGCATCTAATGAATTCTTCTTTGGGAATCAGAAGATCCCCACCAGAAATTGGCAAATAACGAAGTGATTTCCCTACCGTTGAGTTATGAGTTTTTTCTTTTAACATAAGTTTAATTTTCAATTTTTATTTCATTAATTGTTAGATTTAATTTTCAGTTTTTTATATTTTAACTTTCATTTGTAAGAATCGTAAGTTTCTCCATTTTCATTTTGGTTTAAGTTATGTGTTTTGTACACTTGTATAGGGGTGAACTTGTATCACCAACCACTATTTGTACTTTCATTTGTTTATTCATAATTTTGAATCACTTCAATTTGAAGTTATTCCACTTCTATTGATTTCTATTCTCTCACACTTCATATTTTCTCATTGTTCATCAAAAATTGAAAATTTTACTATTGCTTCTGCATTATTTTTATCACTTTCATTTTCTAAACAGTGGTATCAGAGCCTTAGATTTCAAGGACTGTGATTTTATTTGAGAGAGAGAAATTTCAATTTTTTGCTTTACAATGTCTTCAAATTTTGGTGTTACCTCTCCTCCACATTTTAATGGTGAAAACTACCAATTTTGAGTTGTTAAAATACAATCYTATCTCAGGCCTTTGGGAATCAGTTTCAACAGATGCCAATCCTGGTCCATTAGGAGAAAATCCGACATTGAATCGTATTAGATTACATGAAGAAAAGAAGTTAAAGAAGCTTAAAGCTTTATGTGTAATTCATGCTTCTTATTCTAATCCTATATTTGCTAGAATTATTGATTGTAAAACAGCAAAAGAAGCTTGGGATAAATTATAGGAGGAATTTGAAGGAAGTGCAAGGGTAAAAGCTGTCAAATTATTAACTCTCAAAAGAGAGTTTGAGATGCTCAAGATGAAAGATTCAGATTCTGTAATGGACTACACGACTAAAGTGATGATCATTGTGAACCAAATCAGACTAGCTGGTGAAGATTTTCTAGATCAAAGAGTTGTATAGAAAATAATTGTTAGTGTTCCTAGCAAATTTGAATCAAAGATCTTAGCAATAGAGGAGTTTTCAGATCTGACAACTCTCTCTATAGCTGAGTTAATTAGTAAGTTACAAGCCCAGGAACAGAGTGATACAATGCGTAACGAGGAGCATGTTGAAGATGCCCTTAATGTCAAGTTCTAAGGTAAGAAACTTGCTGCACAACATGATAAAAAATCAACCAAAGATCAGGGGAGCAAGGGAAAAGGAGGAGCATCAAAGAATGATAAATTTCCTTCTTGTCGTTTTTGTAAAAAGACCAACCATGCTGAGAAGGATTGTTGGTACAAAAACAAACAGATCTACTATTGTGACTATTGTAACAAAAATGGTTACATGGAGAAGTTTTGCTGTGCCAAACAAAACCAAGCCCAAAATCCCCAACACCAAACATATTCTGCAGACAACAATCAGGAAACAAATTTGTTGTTTATGGCTTCTCATACAAATGACAATGAGTCAACCTCATGACTAATTGACAGCGGATGCACTACCCATATGGCTAAAGATATCAATCTCTTTAGCCAGATTGATAGATCTATACAGTCTAAGGCGGTTCTTGGACATGGCGAGACGGTACTAGCTAAAGGTAAAGGTATTGTCATCATGCATACTAAGCAAGGTGAAAAGATAATATCAAATGATTTATATGTTCCAAGATTATCTCAAAACTTGCTTAGTATTACTCAATTGTTGCATAACAATTCTTCCGTGGTTTTCAAAGATCAAGATTGTGTTATTTATGATCCTCATGGAGTAGAGATTGCAGGGGTCAAAATGATTGGCAATGCTTTCTTTTTTAATGGTGACTCATTATGTCATCATGCTCTCCATGTCAAAGTGGAATAAAGCAAAAAATGACATCATCGATTTGGACACTACAACAACAAAGCTTTGCAAATTTTGCATTCTTCTAACATGGTTGATGATTTTACCAACTGTGTCTCATTTGATCAGATTTGTGAAAGTTGCCAAGGAGGGAAGATGCACAGACTACTTTTTTAGAAAGGTGGAAGTTTTAGAGCCACAGCAAAGCTCGAATTGGTGCATAGCGATGTTTGCGGTCCCATGCGCAAAGCATCTATTGAGAATAATAAATATTTTATTCTCTTTATTGATGATTTTTCCAGGCTAACTTGGATGTATTTTCTGATCGAGAGAACTCAAGTTTTTGAAATTTTCAAGAAGTTTGTGAATCTTGTTGAAACTCAAAGTGGTTGCAAGCTCAAAACTTTGAGAACGGATAATGGGAAGGAATATACTTCCAAGCAATTTGACAAGTTTTATGAAGACTTGGGAATCCAACACCAAGTGTCCATTCCTATACGCCACAATAAAATGGTTTTTCAGAAAGGAATAACAGAACCGTGATGGAGATGGCAAGATGTTTACTCTTTGGGAAGAAATTGCCAAAGAAATTTTGGGCTAAAGCTGTATGTACTACTAGTTACTTGCTCAACAGACTTCCTACAAAGGCAGTTAAGGGCAAGACTCCTTATGAAGCTTGGTCAGGTAGAAAACCTTTCGTTAAAAACTTGAAGATTTTTGGATCAATATGTTACTCTTTTGTTCCTTCTATTAAGAGATCTAAACTTGATGAGAAGGCAATTAAAGGAGTATTTATTGGCTATGCCTCTTATTCAAAAGGGTATACAATTTTTTATTTGAACACCGAAGAGGTTATCTTGAGTCATGATATCATTG